TCCTGATTGGCATACTGGAAATAAATCTTTGGATTCATTTATCATGAAATCATGGGACAATACAAATAATAAAACTGATGGCTATATACAATGGATAAATTTCTCTCAATTGAAGGAAGTACAAAAAACACAAGTATTAGACAATGGATGCTCACATATGGCAGATTGGTTAAAACCAGTAATAAACAGGAAGAAACTAATAAAAGTTATACTTAAAAAAATAGTTGATGGTGAGGATGTTGAATTATATGATTTTAATCAGGTAAATCATCTGTTATAATATTATTTGATGCATACTGCATTTGCTGAGTAAGGTATATATTACAATACTAGAAGTTAAAAATGTTGATTGATTACATTATCCTTTTATTTATCAACAGCTACTTGAAGAGTATCCAATGATATTAACTCCAGACAACATTCAGATCATTGGTATAACCCAAGAACCATTAACTGATGACTATTATTTAGTATTCTATAATGATATACATTCAGTTTTGAATGACACTATGAAGATGGCTGAATCAGCCTTTAAAAATGGGCTTTCTTGGTTAGACTTTAATGATTTTGAAAATATTGAGGAGATACAATCTAATAATTGTAAAACAGTTTGCATTGCCAAGTGTAAAAATCCTGCAAAACTTCAGAGCACATCAAATGTGGTTTTGAAACAATTTAGTAACTCTGATCAGATGTTTAAAATGCTCATTTTTGAGGTAATTTTCATTAAGTAATTTTTTCCATAAAAAAAATCAAGGCTAATATAGAGCTTTAAATTTCTAACAGATCAGAAATTATGTTGTCTGTGCATCATACAAATTTCTTAAATTTTATGATGTTATACAGCAACCATCAACAAATGAGCACATAATTGTTATGCAATATGCTGATGGGGGCAATCTTTTATCTTACTTGCACCAAAACATTAAGAATTTGACATGGAGGATGAAAGCACAACTTGCATTATTGATAGCATCCAATCTGCAAACTATTCATGCTTTGGGAATAATTCATTGTAATCTTCACAGTGGAAATGTACTTTTAAGTAACTTGGATTTTCCATATATATGTGACTTAGAACATTCCCAACCAGTAAAATCATCACAGACAGATTTCTCAACATCAAAACTATATGGCGTCTTACCCTATATTGCACCAGAGGTCTTACATTCCTGCAAATTTACTCAAAAATCAGACATTTTTGCCTATGGAATTCTAATGTATCAAATTGCTAGTGGCGAGCCACCTTTCAGAAATAGATTATTTAATGATCAACTGATGGAAGACATGGACAATGGGCTACAACCAAGCATACCTATTTCAACACCCGAGTCTTATAAAAAACTTGCAAAAAAATGTTGTGATCTTGATCCTGACTGGCGACCATCTGCATTGGAAATTTGTATTGATATTCAAAATATGATGATGAACAGTACTAAGGCAGATGATATATGGAACAGCATTTATTACAATAACAAAGCAATACAAATCTCACTGACTGAGAAGGCAAAATATTCAAGTAAACCGCTATTTGCTGAACATCCAGCCAATCTATGAGATTGTGTACAGTATGAAGACACCCATAAGTCAAGAAAACATAATCTTATTAAGAACCAGTAAAAATGCGAGATGTTAAACATTTTTTTTCACAAAAGCTACATAGGTTCACCAATGTGGAGGTACTAAATGGAGTGAACGTTTACATATGATATTAACAATATAGTAATAGCATGAGAAATGATACCATTTTATTTTGTGATGAATAATTTCCAGAGTGATAACTCAGCAAACTGAATGCTGATGGCTTCATTCACCTTATTAGTATTATAACTAGTGCTAGGCATTTCACCTTTTTGTAATTTATAATATAATAATCGAATAAACCTACACGAATTCATTGCCACTTTTTCGGCGATTAGTTTCAATTTGTCCAATTGTTATATAAATACCCATTAGAGTTGGGAGAGCGAAATTTATCTTTAGTTAAAATTGCAAACTAATGAGGTATTACCAAATTAGCTCGTGCTGCTGTACTTACTACAGTGGTTATGTCAATAAAGCTGAATTAGTTTCGAGCGATTTTAATTATTTAATACAAGCGTGCAATTTTTCTCTATTCCTAATGGAAATTATTACTCGCAAATAAGGATATCAACAATTGTAAACAACAGCAAATTCATTTCTTAATGCTAAGGCTAAATAGACTCGATTATGCGGTTTTGACAGCCTAACGCTCTTACTAATAAAGGACAGTATATGATTTAAAAGGGTATTAGTATGAATCGATTTAATTGGCACTTGTCATTAATAATTTTATTACCCGAAAACCTTTCACTTCCCAATTGTGACCACCAACACCGTCACCAGTTCAAAAGACAGACTCAATTCTAAGAGTTTTACGGTAATGCTCACTTGATTGTTGTTTTCTTAAGCACTTGACCGAACAATTAAATTCAGAAGGAACTTGAGAAATTGACGATAAACACTTCTAGATTTAACAGGACATATTGGTACCACTCCATGTAAAATGTATCGCATACTTTCTTCTGACAGTCTTCCAATAGAAGCTGATCAATCTTAAAAAGAAAAAATTGGGTAATAAATTTTAGACTTTTTGCATATTATTGTATTTTTATGACCATAATAAATTCTTGAATATTACAATGAAACAATAAACGGCGAAAATTGGGATGCTTTATTATGCACCATCGCGAGTGTTGCGAATTTGGTCTTAAATAATGGACTAATTATAATGTGCATAGCGAATACAGTATCTTCCTGTTACAGATACAGTCGAACCTCCATAAAAGAACACAGTCGGGACAGCCAAATTATGTTCTATTATAAAGTGTACTTACATTTCTTTGAATTTCCCGGTTAAAGAAATTGATTAAACTAGTTTGTTCTTAATTCTTCCATACATTTTCCTGTGCGATTTATATTATTATTATTTGTAAATCCGTGTTTATACAAATCCATATACAGCCACGTTTTTTGCGACTTGTTATTAAATCAACGGAATCAAATAGTTTCTTGTAAGTCGCTCCATATATAGTTACGATTATTTCTTGCATATTGTTTGACTGCTCCCTAATGACGTTCAATAAAATTCAATTCACAGTAAAAAATATACAAACGTAACCAGAATTTTCGATCGGTTTAACCAATGTATCGACTAAACGAGCTCATCTTACCTCTCTTATCTCAAGACACTTTTTATGTCCAGTTTTTTTAGTTGGTCGAGGCATTGTGAAGTAATAATGAATATTACAAGCTTGTTGCTTGTGAACTATCACATTTATTGGATAACACACAAATGCTTACACAAAACAAATAATGTTAAGAAAATTGCATAAAAATTCACAAGATGACATACCAATTGCAAGAAACCAATGCACGACTCAACCGTACTAGAATATTCAGATCTGTAACTTTGTACAGATTCTAGTGGAGCTAGTATGTTACAAATTAATGTGGGTTAAATATAGTTTTGCGCGCGTAAATTTGCAATTGTTTTACTCTACTTCGGGCATCGTTCTTCCATTACGCTTCAGTGCGCATTGTTATAATTTCATTGTTGAGGGTTAAAATAGCTTTCTCCAACTATTTTATAGTTTTTCGTAGATAAATGACTGCTACGACGAAAATTATATACTGTAAATTATTGTATTTTCAGGGATAATAGAAAAAAGTATCTCCGTCGATACGATGCCACGGTTATATCACGATTACAGCGATGGAAATCGTAAATGAAAAATTATTGGAAATATTGAGTTGCATTTTTGCAGTTGATAAAGCGTTAATCGTTAGTTAGATCTATTGAGCCCTGCTAATAGGATTTTTTCTTAACAATTTTTCAGCGTTTTAGTAACAAATATAAAAAATTTATCAGCGAAATTGACATAATTTCGACAACTTTATTTTTAATTTTTATCATAATAAAAATTCAAAATTAATGAAAACTTTGTTGAGAACAAGATCTTTCAAAATCGTAACTATTTATTTAGAAAAACGTCTAAATTTGTCCGGTGAGTGTACATGGAAGCATATCGTATTTAATTAATTTAATTGGAAAAGGAGTAAATCAAACTCTTACAAGCTGTAAATAACCCGCGAATTACAAAGAGTGTTTGTGTCACTAAGTGGGCGATGTTAATATTCGAACAGAACCAGACTACCTCCCTTACTCCTTGTCAACCCTAACCCTACCTCTAAACTTGGACACAAACGCGACCGCACACACGCCTATGTCAAAAGACATATCTTAATATGGAGTTTTGCGTTCCTTTATTGGTTACACCTACGAAAGGTGTATATTACACTAAAAAGGCACGTATTTTAATATGGCCCTCGATACTGGGGACGCTTTCTAGAAGAATCTATTACTATCCCAAAAGGACGCGGAAACAAATAAAGACAATCGGAGGCCCCAGCTACTCCTTGCCCAGCGAGGCAATTACTTCGAAAACATTTGATAGAAAAAGGCTTTCTTTCCGAGTTCATGGCAATTATCATCAATAAGAATGTGCGAAATCCGCGGATCTAATAATGGCACTTTTTGTGTGTAGTCTTGATATATGTGGCTTGAATCCAGTTACCCATAAAGAGAAGGTAATCTACATGACCTAAGCGCGATATCGGAAATCAAGCCTTATTTGGGACTACTAGCCGAATAAATGAAATCGGGATTACTTTAAATGTCTTTCTTACAATACAGCTTTTTTTTCTTGAGCAAAAACATAGCAAGCATTGATAACACTTCACGTGACTACATATTGTGTGGTATGCAAAAAAGGCTGTCGGAAAGGACGTCATTTTATTAAACACAAAAAAAAGGGTAAGAAATAATCGACGAGTGATCTCGAAAAAATAAAAAAGAGCAATATTATTCCGACTCTTTAAATCTGAAAAGCCAGAAGGAAACAAAAATTATCAAGTTAAATAAATTCTACATGACCAAATAAATAAAATTTATAAAAGAACAATTTTATTGCTCCCCTCTAAGAGTAATAAGCAATTATCTAATAATAATGAAATAAATAAAATGATTATGAATATATATATAAATACAAGATAAATGACAACTAACGAAATGATATGACATAATAATGCTTCTTGAGTCATTCATCAATGCACATAAAAAGGTAGAGTGCGCCTTCATACTTCGATAATGGCACTCCTAGCCTCCTCAAACACATCCTCTTCCTCTTCATCACCCTCACTTTCGGTTTCATCTTCGTCACTGAATTCTATCACCCTTCCATAATATCTGAAATTACTGCCTGTATTCAATAGCCATTCGACTAACAGCGTTGCTTCCATCTCCTCTTTCTCATTTTCGAACATGGCCTCGGTCTCTAAGACGGTCGGTATGTCAAACCTACCATCTATGAACTCGCACAAAAGGTCGTCGGCTGTGGATACGCGGTGAGATTGCGGGCGAGATGGGTGAAGGGATTCTGTTTGAGGGAGAGCCTCTGGTTGAAGGTGTGATTCTGGTTGAGGGTGTGATTCTGGTTGAGGGTGTGATTCTGGTTGAGGGTGTGATTCTGGTTGAGGATGTGATTCTGGTTGAGGGTGTGATTCTGGTTGAAGGTGTGATTCTGGTTGAGGGTGTGATTCTGGTTGAGCAGGTGATTGCGCCACTTTTTTGGGTATTGTTTCCTTCGCATCTACTGTCTTTGCTAATACTTCCTCCGATTCCTTGTTGTTCTTCACAGCACTTATTTCTCTCACAACCTTTTCCACATTCTCGCTCTTTAAGTTTTGCACATTCCCTTGACGGTCTTGTATGGGTTTAGTAGGTCTGGTGTTTTGAATTGTAGTTTTAGTGGATGAAGCGGTCGATAGAGTTTTAGATGCAGATGAAATTATGGATGATTTTGTGGGTGGAGATGTTGATGGGGTTATTGATGGAGTTGTGGATGGGGCCGTAATTAGACGTTTTGTTGTTTCTGCCGCAGTTGCTACGACAGTCGTAGCCGTTCCTGTCGTTGATATCGATGCCTGTGCTGCGAGAGAAGTAGCAGATTTCTTTGCAGGGATACCCGGTAATGGATGCCGTCGAGATGTTGTTGTTTGTGGTTGAGACTCTGGCTGCTCTGTAAGTTGTGGTTGGGTTCGTCCTTGGTTGGGCTTTTGCTCTTGTTTGTGCATTTGCGTGTTGTGTATCGCCTGAACCTTATTCTGTACAGTGCCTGACTCTACAGTTCCCTTTAATTCTTTCTGGTTTTCTAATCTCGACGTTGGTGTGGGTGGAAGAGGACGCGGTTTCTTCTGAGTCGTCTGCCCCGTCTGTCCAGCTTGGGCTAGCTGCTGTACTCTTTGTACTTGCTGCTGTTGTAATTGTTGGTTTTGTTGCGTCATGTTACTTGTCATGGGTTCTACGGTATCGATGTTCTTTCCGTATTGTAATTTAGCACTATTATCCTTTTGAGATGCACGCACTGTCGTATCATAAACATGTGAATTTCCAGAATTTGAATAACCCTTATACATGTCATTCCCACTTCCACTATTATTTCCATTAACCACTTTCTCATCATTAAACGACTCTGTGCTTTCTTTCCTTCGTTCTGCAAACGTAGTACGACTCGGCGTTGGTGTACTTCGCGAACTTATCGAATTGGTCTTGCTTAGATTCCTAGCATGCCGTCCCTGTACTTCGACTTGATCAAATACGCTAGGTTCAGGAGGTGCAGGCTGTGTTGGTATTTCGGGAATTTCAATTTTAATGTAGCGCGCTTTTGGCGTTGCAAACGAACGAGAGGCTGAAGGATACGTATGTGGACTCGTAAGAGTGTTGACAGAAGAATTTGCCGAATGACCATTGTATAATCCTGTGATGCTGCTTGTGTCGTCAGAAAACGATGTCTTACGCAACCGTGAGAAAAACTTGCCAAATTTTGTTGTAGTGGCAGCTGATGACTTTTTCTTATTCTGTTCCCTGAACGAATCGTTAAACGTCGTTTTTTCACCCGGTGGTGTCGTCGCAAGGAAATCCATTAAAGCTTGAGCAGAATGCGACTTTCTCTGTCCAGGTGGTGGTAAGTAATCATCGTCGTCATCGTCGATCGTTAATGGATCGGGTCTCCGTCTAGTTTTGGTCTGCGATGATTGAAATCCAGAACTGTAACTAGTTTGGGAGTAAGGTTTCTCGGATAGCGATTGCTTGTTTTCAAACCGAGATTGTGATGTTGGTGAGGTAGGTGAGGTCGATGAAAAGCCCTTCCCCGAAACCAGTGGCGTGTAATTCGATGATCCATTAGTAGATCCTTTTCCCCCTGTTCCTTGTCTTGGGGTTTCTGAAATCGCTTCTAACTTATTCATTCTTCCTTTCTTTATACCAGAGTTGCCTCTCCTCGCTGATGGTTTTGAATTTCCTAGAACATCTTCGGGGCTAGTGTTTCTAAGAAATTCAATAAAACTCTCTTCCAGCTCCTTCTTTTTGCGTTTTTGTCCAGGATACATTAGCTCATCGTCAGAGATATCGTCGTCATTAGTGCTCGATCCATTTGTGGGAAGCATAGAGCCGGGTAATACGGGAGCGCGAGGGACTGGTCTTGGGGGCGCTTTTTTTACACTCTGATAAAAAAGTGAAAACAGATATCGATAAGCGAAACTACCATCACACAGCTTATCACCTACAAAAGATCGAAACACGCGTCATACCTCGATCGTAATTAGCCGGTTAGGTGTCAAAGTTACTTTAACAGTAGTTTTCGAATCCGACATAATCAGGTGTTCCAGCGATTTTACTTTTTCTCTTGCTTCTTCCTGTATAAACAAAGGCAAAGACATTAGCCAAAATAATAAATAAATAAAGATAAAGAGTTTGTGTATTCTCTTATAACTTTTCTACACTCCCATTCTCCACAGAACGACATTTACCTCGCTAGAAGCAGGGCGTTGTACCGGATTTCCCAAACTCTGCATACTCTTTGTGCTCCTCATTTCTTTGTTCTGATCCGATTCTCTCCGATTAAGAGACCCATCTGCAGAGGTATGGCGAATCATTGTCTGTTGAGGTGTGATTTTTTGAGGTACTACAAGTATCGTAAGGAGAATTAGTTGGCCGGTTAGCGTGAAAGTAATAATGGTACATGACATTCATGGCGTCATTATATTGAATAATCCACTTTTTCCTCCAGACGCCCATCTCTTACCATCATTCCCGTTCTCGTATCCACGAGGTGATGATAACGGACTATAAGGCGGAGACCGAAGGGCACTATTCGAATTATAGAGTGAGTCTGACGATGGCCGCCCGCTGGAAATACCAGATGAGGTCGGTGTAGATAATGGAGATTCTGGTAAATGAACAGAATGAGTAAGCTGCCGAAACGAAATTAACAAAAGTAGCAAGTAGTGTACATGCGTGCATATGAAGACAACTTACTTGGAAAATTTGGTGATGATGGATCTGATGGGTTCGGGCTGGCGAGCTATAAAAGTAAATATAATTATTAGTTATTGTCAAATATGATACTAGTTCGGTAACTCGGGATACAAAACAAAGTTTCATGTCAATTTGTACTGTCATTATTAGAAAAAGCCTTATTGTGTTTAGCCATCACCACCACCTTTTTTTCACCTTAATCGAAATCATTATGAAAATACCTGCAATTGTTCCCTCAACTTCATTCTCCTAAACAAGGAATACACTTGTGCATCTTGTGTCAAAGCTGCATGCACTTCCCTTAGCCTCGCCACCTCAACGTTATTCCTCTCGCTCATCTTTGCAACCATAATCAAAACATGCTCTCCGACATATTCTAATATTGCTGTCAAATAGATAGCCAGGCTAGGAGCAATATGAATTCCTTCCGTGCCATATAAATCCGGGACATTACGATGATCACGTTCATCAGCTCCCTTTTCCCCAAGGGTACTGTAAAATTGACACTTTACTCTAAATTGCTCGTAGATTTTTTGCAGAGGAAACGGAGTTATATGAACAGTTCGTTCCTTGGTGTGATCGGATGCACCGGATTCGACATAGGTTTTGAGTTCAAGCTCGGCTTCTAGTACGGCTTTTTTGCCCAAATTGGTGGGGAGGACTGTTGATATTGAGCGTTTTATGCGATCGAGTGCTAACGATTGGGCTGTATTGAGGATAGAATAGAGGAATTCATCAAGGAAAACATTTATGGCTTCTAAGGCTTCAATTGAGATGTGGTAGTTTGCTACTACGGCTATTATTGCATTTGCTGCTCGTTGGGATATATAAAGCGTGTCTGAAAGCAAGAGAAAAGATTATATGGAACGAAAATGGATAAAGAGTGGTATGTAAGTAAAATGTAGCGCATACATGTTCTGCATTAATGAAAACACACGTGAGATGAGCAATGGGTACTGTCGTATGCATTGCTTATTCACACTATGTGACGAGTTTGTATTTAGAATGTGCACTATAGACAAGTTTAGAACTTTTGCTTTCTCTCTCTCTCCCCTACTTACTCGGTATCGAGTCGACAGCTGTCATGGTTGTATGTATATATATACTTTTTGGAATGCTAATCTAAAGTGTTGGGAATATAACTCTAGTTCTTTCACTTTCGAAAGTAGGTTAATGTATTTTGGTTTTAACTTGTTCGTGATTGTATATGCGTATTATTGTTTATTATTATGAGTTAGAAGCTAGTATTATCTTCCCTATCTCTGACACTCTGGAACGAGCACATGGAAGAGAAGGTTGTGCGTGCGAAGCTAAAGTAGAGTTAATAAGTGTAAATTTTATTCATACTTTTTATATTGCCTTTCCTGACTGGTTAGAGCATTGCTATCTCAATTCAGTTACTAATTTGTCCTCCCCCCCCAAAAAGACTAAATGCGTGGGCAAACACACAGTAAACTTGTTATATATTCCACAGCATATTTTATTTATGCTTATGAGTGTGACAGACAGTCGTATGCAATATTAGTGGATAAATAGAGAATGAACAATTTCGGTTAGGTCTAGGCACAATAGAGTGATTACAGTAATGATGAAAGGGAAGTCAATAGTAATAGCATCGGAACAATAACGTGGTAAATGCTATTAATGATTAGCGCGAAGTAAACCGATAAAGTGTGGGGATGAATAATTCGTATAACCACACATGTCCAACTGCCTGGCGGTCTAATAAGAACGAAAGAAATGCATTAGCATCATTATATTCTCTCGAACAAAGTAGTGTATTACAAGGAAAGCATTTCAAGGAATTGAACAGATGGGAGCCGCGATTAGTGTATAAAAATAATTAATTTGGTATTCATAATGTGTGTCATGTTTTATTGTCTTAACACAATCATCATTCCAAAAAAGAAATTTGTTAGGGACAATTCTGGACATCAACCGTATTTAAACCATTTATACAATAACCAGTAATATCAATTAAATATTAATAACCGAATATAAAGAAAGATTTGTTTGTCGCACGAACTAACCAAAAACCATTGGTTGATCGCATCTAATCGAGGATTTTGGTCAAAAAATTTATTTCTCTACTCTTTATAATACAAACCCCATTTCTTACATTCTCTCTTACAATTTACATTGATCATTACCCATTCACGAAAACAATGCCTACTCCAGACGTGAGCACAATTTTCGATTCTTCTTTCGCCTCTTTAATGTCTCGTCTTCTTACGCATCCTCTCGATACTCTACGAGTCCGTACGCAAGCCTCTCCTTCATCAATCCCTATGAGGCAAATCATCAGGCACACGAGAATTAAAGAGCTTTACAATGGATTAGGATTCGCAGCAATGTTTAATATTCCCGCATTGTCGACATATTTGTTTATTTATGATTATACCAAAGCTATGCTAGATAATCATGGGAGCAAAACGAGCGAAATTAATAATAATACCACTAGTGCTAATATAAGCAATATATCTTCTTATCATCTGCTTTCGAGAAACTCTTTTGTAAACCATACAATATCTGCAGTACTAGCAGAAGTGGTAAGCGGTTTGTTCTGGACTCCGATGGAAGTCGTAAAGAGCAGAACGCAAGTCGGAGATGGAATGTGGGTAAGTTTTCCGAACGAATCGTAGAATAGGAAATCGAATTATAGATCAAGAGGTACAATAGAATGTACGTTCACAAGAGGAATTCCGAATGCAAGATTCTAACATTGATAAATGCTGCAAGTGAATTCACTTTCACATTCTCGCGAATCGTATCTCATACTAACACGTACTTTTCTTAAACAAGCTCTCAACAAAATACCCCAATTCACCCACATCCGCTTCACCAACCCGACCTTTACCCCTTATAAAAACCATTCTCTTGCGTGAAGGCATCCGTGGCATGTTTCGTGGGTATTGGATTAGCTTATTCGTTTTTGTACCACATTCGGTGATTTATTTTGTCATGTATGAAAAGTGTAAACAAGTTGCGGGAATGTGGTGGGCGGATAAAGCGAAAGAGGAAAGAAAGGATAGGGTAAGAAAGGTGCGAAAAGAAGGTATTGGGACGAATGATAGTAATGACAAGAATAATACCGCGGGTAAAACCGCGGGTAAAAGTGTTGATTGGTTACAAAAGACAGCTATATCCGGCCCGTCTTTAGACGCAAAAGTTTCTTCCCCACCATCATCAGCAACAACGGATACAGTATCTTTATCACTGTCATCTCATACGTCGACCCTTCCATTCCAAGCCTATATTATATCCTCGGCAATATCCACTAGCACAGCAGCTTGCTTGACTAATATTCTAGACCTCATCAAAACGCGGTACCAAACCGCGCACCAGTTACAATGCAGTCCACACAATGCATCACCGTCAACTCTGCATTTGAATTCGACGGTAAACATAACATCGTTTTCACCATATCGGCTGTTTCTCTACATGTACAGACATGAAGGTGGCCCAAAAGTGTTTGTAAGAGGTATGGGTGTGAGAATCATGTGGATGGTTCCAGCCGCTGCTGTTTCAATGACGATGTATGAGATTCTGAAACAGAGGAGAGAAGGAAAGGAGATGAGATAAAAAGATATCAAAAGAATGTCTACGATGAATAAACGTGTGTTACATATATCTTGTGTAATTCACGTGGCTAGACGTACCAGTAATATTAATTAATTAATTTCACATGTTTACAAAATATTTGAAATAAACTGTATTGTCGGCAATTTGGATTCGCCAACAAAAATCGCTTTATTGCGACTAACCTTGGAATCGTAGCTATTAGTATGCAAAGACACGTGTTCATGAGTTACACGAGTCGGTCAGATCTCTCATCCAAACGAAAAGCGAATAAGCAATTTATTATTATTAGCCATAAGTTTAGGTTTGTATTACAAATTACATTTTAGTTATATACCGATCGTTAACCCTAAATATCGATCAATCGCCGATGGCGCTAATAAACGTTATAGTTCCCATACGTTAATTATCTGTTGTAGATATATTCCTAGTAAAAAATGTCTTATTGTACCAACTTTGAAGTCATGTTAGCAATATTAGCTAGTTCGTAAGTCGTCATCATGAAGAAACAGATTTCAGTGAGGAGGACATAATTGCTGAATATGAATATAAACCAGAGCAAGAAGAACAATAATAAAGCACTGAAGACAAACAAAGCATTAAAAGAGCTCAAGAAATAGGTAGAGAGAAAGCAGGGGGAGGAAGTGCCTGTCTTCAAATGGCTCATCTGTTTACTGAGATCTTTGACTCTTTAGACTCACAACAAAGTAAAGAAGAAATATGGTCTAAGAATATGATACCCTATCATAGCCCGAATACAGATGTTGCAAAAATTTAAAAAATTACCTGAAAAGTTTTTTTTTTTTTTTAAAAAAAAAATTTTTTTTAATCTTAAATGCGCATTACTCTTCAACCACGCATCTTTTCACTGCATAATTTAGCTCATTTAAATCTTCAAAACAAGGTAATTATTTTTCTTAACGGTCAAAGTACAGGTACATTTGGCGTGAGAATTGATAGCGGTTGAATGCACGTGATCTCTTAAAACATACGTTTCGCGTATTTTCTGATATGCGATATGAAAAAAAGAGACTTTTTTTTTTCAATACGGATTTGCGGAGAAAGAAAATTCTTAAAGTCTAAATATGATTCCAGTAACGCTAAAAAGATTCTTTCAGCATGATAACTCGTGACGCTTAACACAGATCAGCAAATTTGGACTTTTTTTAGCTCAGTATCAGATCCGATTTGAGCTACGATTTCAGAATCTCAAAGACAGAATGGGGAGATTCGAAACTTTGTTTCTTTGCTGATTTTGTCGATAGTATTTCCAGTAAATTTGTCGTTGGTTCCCAGGCAAACTTTAGTTCCGTAAACTCGGAAACTCTTTCGTCTATATTAACCCCCGGTTGCAACGATCATTGTGGAGCTGGTTTCCGTTTTCGGACTTTTTTCTCTCCATACCATTAAAGCAATGCGACTACCAAAAATATTGTTGTACCGATTCAGAACTTTGAATTGGAAGTAACAGACGTCTACAAAATTCGCAATTGACTTTGTGGCTTATCAAATGGCCGCTTTTATCAATCTCGATGTGTCTCATAACAAACATTAGATAGAACACATGCAAACAAGTTTCCACTTTTTGTATATTGGAGCAGACGGTGACAATACCAAGTTTGGCACGCGGCACTAAAATTTGAGATGTTTTGTGAGCAATCGCGACTAGTTTGGTTTCCAACACTTACGATTTTTTCGCAAACAATTTGGCTATTATCAAACTGAATGGGGGTATATACATGTACCATCACAATATTATATATAGCCGACAGCCGTATTAATTAATATTATTATTCTTTCGAATAGATCCAACATGATACAAATAAAATTTACAACTGGTTTGCCAACTCGTGTACAGTATCGAGAATAAATCGCAAACAAATACATGAACTGATGGATCGCTATCTCCAATTGATAAATAACAGTTAACTTATAAACAAAAATGCGAAAAGATATGCTACATTCCTCTGATAATAAGTAAAATCTAGCCTCGCAATTTTAACATAATAAATAACCCCTGCCGAGCTAATTTTAACAATCAGCTCCACACCTTATAAAATTTGCTTTACTAATTTACTGCCGCAGGCCACGAAATACTAAACAATCCCGTTAACACCAAATCCAGCCCCTCAAGCCTCAATACCTTTTTATTCGCATCCCATTTAACATAATCATCCTTAATCTTCTCCCTATCCTTACCCTCTACCTTGAAAAAAGCTTCACCATCAAATTTATCCAATCCAATGACAGTTATATCGTCCAACACAGCCTCCTTAGCATAGTAACCAAACATACCATTACCAATCAACTTATTGTTCCTGGTTTTAAAAGTGAT